ATTAATAAATGATTATATGTATTTATCTGCTACGTAAATAATTGTAGATATCTTATCCGAATTATTTAAATGTGTAGAATCCACATGAGCTTGTTTTTTATCAACCAGTCAAAATTTACAGCAGGAGTTGATTAATAAATGATTATATGTATTTATCTGCTACGTAAATAATTCTAGATATCTTATCCGAATTATTTAAATGTGTAGAATCCACATGAGCTTGTTTTTTATCAAGGCGTGACACCTCGGAGTATTATCACGGTATTGTTAAAATGTGCTGGATATGTCCAAAAAGTACAGACACATAATGATGTCCGGATTTTAAATGACAGCATGACTGACAACAGTTGATCTAATATCATGTATGAAATGTTCAATTAAAGCTTTGAAAAGTTTCATAAAATGGGAAACCTCACATTTCAGCCTTTAAATAAAGAAAAGGGTTAAGTCGAAATGATAACTGATTAATAAATGATTATATGTATTTATCTGCTACGTAAATAATTGTAGATATCTTATCCGAATTATTTAAATGTGTAGAATCCACATGAGCTTGTTTTTTATCAACCAGTCAAAATTTACAGCAGGAGTACCGGCACTTGTTTTTTTCCTCTTCAAGCACTGTGTGAAGATGAAAACAAAATGCCATCAAATCTTTTCTGAAGACAGTCAAAACCTTCAAAGTTGCATTCATATAATTAATTAATTAATTTGTAGATTCATTTGTATATTCATTTGTATAATTCCCTTAGCACTTTTAAAACCTCCAAGCTTTTCCACCATGTTTTCACACAAAACGAAACTACCCTGCGTTCTGTGTGCAAAATGCCATCAAATCTTTTCTGAAGACAGTCAAAACCTTCAAAGTTGCATTCATATAATTAATTAATTAATTTGTAGATTCATTTGTATAATTCCCTTAGCACTTTTAAAACCTCCAAGCTTTTCCACCATGTTTTCACACAAAACGAAACTACCCTGCGTTCTGTCGAACGTGACACTGTTACTTAAAACTTTGCTTTATGCTGGGCAGTATTTATTTATCCTCAGTTGTTCAAATCACTGTAATCGAATATGGTTTTAATAATTAAAATATGAAACGGTAATACTAACCGTGGGGAATTTTAACCGGTAATCGTTCCATCCCTAGCTTGGAGTTCAGTCCAAAATTTCCAAATTTTGGTCTCATCAGACCATAGCACCTTTTACCAGAAGGTATCAGACTCTTCCAAATGTGTTTTTGCATAGTGCAAACGAAACACGAGAGTGTGACACTTTTTTAGGAAAGGCTTCTTTCGTGCCACCCTGCCATACAGGCCAGCTTTGTGTAAAGCTTGGGAGATAGTTATCACATGCACAGACTGACCAGACCCAGCCATAAAGCCTTGTAAGTCCTTCAAAGTTGCCTTTGGCCTCCTAGCTTCTTATATTAATGTCCTCCTGGCTCTTTCATACACTTTGGATGGACGGCCTGATCTAGGCAATGTGCTGATGGTGCCATACGCTTTCCACTTCTTAATGATGCCCTGAACAGTACTCCGAGGGATAGCTTAAGCCTTTGAAATGTTTTTGTAGCCTTCTCCTAACTTGTGCCTTTCTACAACTTTATCCCGGTGGTCTTTTGAAAGCACTTTCTCAACCATTGTGAATTCTTTGCCGTACCATACACTACTAACAGTGGAATCTTCAAGAAACAGTTAGTTTTATTCGGAAGTAATCAACACCACTACTATTGATGTCAGGTAGGGCAGTTAGCCTGATGTTTAATCTGGAAGCCGATTGCTTGCACCTGAGCAAGTTAATAATGGTATACTCTAAGGGGCTGATCACTTTACCAAACCAGGCATTTCACTGATTAACTTTTTAATAATCCTCCAGAATTTCTCACTTTCCTAATCGTACCCCTGAAATGCACATTGATAATTTCCTTGATTTGAATATCAACCATAAGCATTTAAACTCAGTCATTTATAACATATATATAAATAAAATTAATGTGGACCCTACTGACACACTTAAAGATACTTGGGAGCACGACCTAGGAGTTACTATTACAGAGGATCTATGGAGAAACATCTTGACCCAGGTACACTCCTCTTCCTTATGTGCTAGGCATGGTTTGGTGCAGTGTAAAATACTATTCAGAGCTCACTTAACCAATGCCCAGTTGGCTAAATTTTTCCCAGACAGAAGCACTGCCTGAAGCCGCTGCAAACATTCACCTGCCGATCACCTGCATATGTTTTGGACATGTCCACAGCTGGCAACTTTCTGGTCCAGTGTATTTGATACATTTAATAAAGCTCTCAACACTAATATAGACCCTGATCCCTTGTTAGCCCTCTTTGGAGTATCCCTTAGACCTGATCTGACAACCTGAGATAGTAAGGTTGTTGCTTTTGCTACAATCTTGGCCAGACGAGCTATCCTTCTTAAGTGGAAGCACACCTCGCCCCCGATACATGACAGGTGGATACAGGACATGTTTTACTGTATCAGACTTGAAAAGTTAAGATGCTTACTCTCTGGTTCACTCAAATCCTTTTATAAGACTTGGGATCCCTTTTTGGACTATATTAAAGGCCTACCTTGTGCACCTGTAACTGGCAACATGTAATGTTTGTCATCTGTTAGAAGGGATTTTTTTTATTTACTTGTATATTGGTTAATTATATCTATTTTATTTAATTTGTTATTGTTTATTTATTTATTTAATTTACTGTTTTTCTGTCCATCCGAGTTAATATGAATGGGGGATTGTGGAAGGGATTAATAATGGACAATATCCTACTGTTCACTTTATCATTATTTCAATGTGTATTGTCACACAAAATACCAATAAAAGGTATTGAAGTAATAATCCTCCAGATTTTTTTATTATTATATTTTTACTTTAATGATGAGGGTTATAATGTGTACATGCAGCTCAAAATAGTTAGACTTAATTTATTTTATTTTCCAGGGTGTAATGTGACAAAAGGTAAAGGTTTTCACAGGGTATGATGATTTTCTATAGGCACTGTACATTGTGTTTATTTACAATGTGTGTGTGTGAGTATGAGAGTGAGAGACATTTCAAACAGTGTGGTCAAAAATGTATTTTCTTTTTCATATAGCATTTTATACATACAGTATATACAAGTTAACAGTTACTAATATTTCACATACTGTGTAGTAAGATATAGTCATTAGCATTTATGAAATGCTGTTCTAAAAAGCCAAAATTATTAATTTCCACATATGCATCACAGAAGTAACAGAACTGATGAAGCTCCAGAAAATACTTAATATGAACAAAGGTACTGCTATCGCTGTAACTGAGTAAACAGAAGATTTAAACATTTTGAATGATAAAACAGACAATAAACACTCGACTGCAACAATATATGGCTTATCTGTGTTCTTCAAGCCATCTCTGTTATTTGCAAAATAATAAAGTCTATCCATATATTTTAGCCTGTATGACCTCTGCCAAAACAAACTCATACACCTACTGTACATGCGTTGAAGTGTCTTGCGGCAGGGCGCGTTGCCGGCGCCATACCACACAGTGATGCAGCTGGTCAGGATGCTCTCGATGGTGCCTCTGTAGAAGGTGCACATGATGGGGGCCGGGGCTCTGGCTCTTCTCAGTTTGCGGAGGCAGTAGAGACGCTGCTGTGCTTTCTTGGCCAGTGCTGCGGCGTTGTCAGTCCAGGAGAGATCCTCTGTGATGTGCACACCCAGGAACTTGGTGCTGCTCACCCTCTCCACAGTCACACCATTGACGGTCAGAGGGGCATGCTGAGTGCGCACTCTCCTGAAGTCAACAACAATCTCCTTCGTCTTCTCCACATTCAGAGAGAGATTGTTGTCACTGCACCACCCGGCCAGGCGGCTCACCTCGCTCCTGTAGTTTGTCTCATCTCTGTTGCTAATGAGACCCACTACAGTCGTGTCATCCGCAAACTTATTAAGGAGGTTGGAGTTGTGTGACGGTGTGCAGTCATGGGTCAGCAGAGTGAAGAGGAGGGGGCTCAGCACACATCCTTGGGGGGCCCCAGTGTTCAGTGTGATGGTGCTGGATGTGTTGCTGCCGACCCGTACTGCCTGAGGTCTTCCAGTCAGGAAGTCCAACAGCCAGTTGCACAGCGAAGTGTTGAGCCCCAGCTGGACCAGTTTGTGAATGAGCTGTTGAGGGATGATTGTGTTGAATGCTGAACTGAAGTCTATGAACAGCATTCTGACGTATGAGTCTTTTTTGTCCAGGTGTGTGAGTGCTGAGTGGAGGGTAGTGGCGATGGCGTCATCGGTCGAGCGTTTGGACCGATATGCAAACTGGAAGGGGTCCAAGGAGGGGGGGAGGGCAGACTTGATGTGGTGCATGACTAGCCGTTCAAAGCACTTCATGAGGAGTGATTATGATCCATAAAACTCTATAATGTCTTTAACTGGACCTTATGCTATGTCCTATGTCATCCGCCAGAATGAACGCGTGTACGACAGTTAGTGGAAGATAGAGATTACGGTTTATAAAGTTTTAAATATGGATATTGTTCTTACAAAAATCTGTGATCTGTTTAAAATACATTACAAAGCCTGTTATTCGAATACACACACACACACGTGTATATATTGTAATGACATTATCATTTATTTATTCATTATTAATTTGTAATTATAGGGAATTAATGATTATTACCACATTCAGGTTTTGATAGGACTCGGATCTGAATGTCCCAAGTCCACCTGATTAAACCGATTCCAAATTTGTTAGTTTGCACTTCAAATCAAGGGTCGTCCAGTGAGCCGGTGATTCTTAGTATCTTTTAGCAAATTAAATGTGTTTTCCTGGCCACGGTCAACACAATTATGATTATTTGTAAGCTCTTAACAGAGGTAATTATTATAAGTAAGCTACAAGCTAAGTAGCAAGGGGTCTTTTGGCACAGTTTTAACCTTGAAATTATATGAGCCAAGACACTTCTTCTTTATAAATGAAACATGAATTTTATTGGCTAATCTAGATTACATAAAAACCTAACTAAAACATACACACAAAGATTCAAGGAAATGAGTCAACAGAGTTGCATGAAGTATTCAAAGTCCTAACTCGTTTCGCGAGTGGTTTTAAATTCAGCCTAGGAGAAACACCAAGCAGCGATTGTCTTATCTTTACTGCTTAACTCAATTCACCAGTTCAACACCGATGTCAGCAGATAGGAGCTTTGTCTGTACTTGCGTTTTGCTTAGTTGACAGCTGAACGCTGAGGCGGTTCCGTCGCTGACGCGGGCGTGCTGGAGGGGATTCCGTTGCTGATTGGCTGTTGATCTGGCGCCTGAATGACGTATGGATGACGTCCTTTGGGGAAATCCCTCGTTCGATTAGTTGGTTTCTTGATGACACAGAGGCTTGAGCAGTTCGTGAAGTTTCACTGAAGTGAACTGGACTGACGTCTAAATACTGAGAGTCCTACAATAAAACACACAGACAGACACATATGAGTATGATACATTACTGATGTCACACTGCAGCAGCAGATATACTTCAGAAACATTAACTCATTTACACACTGCCGAACACCATTAAAAAAAGTAACATGTAAAATCTTTGCTAATAGCCTACTGATATTCTCGCAGATCAGTCTCATCAATATAAGCACAAATAAATTCATATGAATTTCTTTTATTTACATAAGTCTGTTTATAAGGTTGGTTTTGCTCAAAAAGGTTTTATTTACAGTACTTCTAGAAAGTACAGTTTTATACTTTATAAACATTTATTTAACATGTATGACTCACAGCAGATTATTCAGTTTTTCCAGTATACACTGTAGAGTAGAGACTCTGACTCCTTGGTCTAGTTTATTAAGAGTAAGATCTAGATGTCTCAGGTGTGAAGGGTTTGATCTCAGAGCTGAAGCCAGAGCAGCACAACCTTCATTTGTGACACCACAACACATCAACCTGCAACGAACAAACACACTGTTTAACTGCAATGAACAAACACACTGTTTAGCAATATCTTCATTACAGAAAAAACATTGGTGTATCATGTCATCCAAATCATTATACCCCAGTTTCTCTAATTTGCAGTGAGGATTCTCCAGTTGAGCAGAGAGAGCAGTAACTCCAGAGTCTCCTATTTTATTCTGAGAAAGATCCAGCTCTCTCAGGTGTTCAGGGTTTGATCTCAGAGCTGAAGCCAGAGCAGCACAACCTTCATCTGTGATTCCACACTGACACAACCTAGAGACCAATGACAATTTTCACTCTCTCATACTTTTTGTAAAAAAGAATTGTCACAAAGATACTATGACAGAATCTTTGTTACTTACATTTTTTTTTCAATCAGTAGTTTACAGTAAATTTTCAAACACTATTATTGTGTGTTTCTTTGGCACTTTTATGGAGTTTATTTTTATGAAAACAAATCAGATTTTGAAATGTTTACTTTTTGTTATACTTATGAAGATCAATAATAAACTATGAAAATTCAACATAAATAGATGTATTACATAAAGCAATACAAAATTTCAAAACTACGACAAAGTCGTGGCCTAATGGTTAGCGAGTCGGACTCATAACCCAAAGGTTGCGGGTTCGAGTCTCGTACCGGCAGGGATTGTTTGCTGCTCAAGAAACATTTCTGATTATTATCAATGTTGAAAACAGTATTGCTGCTTCACATTTTTGTGGAAACAGTGAAACATTTTTTCAGGATTCTTTAATGAATAGAAAGTTTAAATGAACAGCATTTATTTGAAATAGAAATCATTTTTACAATTATAAATGTCTTTACTGTCACTTTTGATCAATTTGATCCTGAATAGAAGAAAAAAAACTTACTGATTTGTCTTCAATTTTTTTATTGACGAACATAAAATGGATTAAAGTTCTTGATTATGATCTTACTTCAGTTTCTCCAGTTTACAGAGAGGTTCTTTCAGTACATCAGAAAGGTGCTTGAGTCCCAAATCTCCTATCTTATTTTCAGTGAAATTCAGATGTCTCAGGTGTGAGGGGTTTGATTTCAGAGCTGAAGCCAGAGCAGCACAACCTTCATCTGTGATTCCACAATGGTACAGACTGCCAGAGGAAAAAGAACAATCTTTCTGTCGTTTTTACTGATGTGATATCATTTTAATAATAATGAATTATAATATGGATATGTCTGTAAATATAATTGGGTTATTTATGTGCCAGTGTAATAGTGATTTCTTTGGCCATGTTTGTGTGTAACCACAAGTGCTGATATAGCAAACCAAAACAGTCTTTAACATAATATAACAAATGATTATTAAAAGAAAAAAAATATTAAAAGTTCTGACTGTGACATACGAATAATAAAATAAGTAATAAATAAAATTGTATGGTTTTTGTATGTGAAAGTCATATCTCACACAGGCATGAAAACCATCAAAGAAAAGATCTTACTTAAGTTTCTGCAGTTTACAGTGAGAAACCTTAAGTCCATCAGATAGACGCTCAATGCCCAGATTTTGTAGGTTATTCCCAGACAGATCCAGTTCTCTCAGATGTGAGGGGTTTGACTTCAGAGCTGAAGCCAGAACAGCACAACCTTCAGCTGTGATATTACAGTCTTTCAAACTGTAAAGAAATTGAAAACTTGAGTAAAAAAAAAATGTAACGCTGTACCAGTTAAAAAACTTTTTTTTTAAATGCCTCTTGCTATGATGCAAAAAATGTATTTTATAGAACAGTAATATTAACAGTAAAAAGTTTATTTGATTTTAAATGTTAAACCAGCTTTATGGTATCAAATATCAAAATATGGCACGAGAACTATGAAAATATTAGAGGTTATAGGTTATGCCACTATGCACCTCTCAAGTCACTGCAAGCAGGATCAGTACTAACAGAAATTCATAGATCATCCAGAATTATCTGTAAAATGGTGTAATTGTGTAGTGATCATCTGTGTCACTTACTTTGCTGATTTGGATTCTTTAATCACAGGAAGCAACTTCTGAAGAACTTTATCTGAAATATTTTTATTTCCAATAAATCTATTCAGCTCAAACACATCCATTACTTGCTCTGATGTCAACAATTCAAACAGTAAAGCTGACCACTGAGAACAGGAGAGTTTGGCTTCTGCTAATGTTCCAGATCTCAGATACTGTTGTATTTCCTCCACTAGTGAACGATCACCCAGTTCATTCAGACAGTGGAACAGATTGATGGATTTCACTGGAGAGCATACACTACTTATCTTTTTCTTGATGAACTCAACTGTTTCCTCACTGCTGTCAGAGCTGCTTATTGTCAGTTTCATTAATTCTTGTAGAAGACTCTGATTAGTCTTCACTGACAGACCCAGAAGAAACCGCAGGAAAAGATCCAGATGACCAGTTTTACTCTGTAGAGCCTCATCCACAGCTCTCTGATGCAGAGCAAATAATGAAACATGTTCTGATAAACTATGAAAACAAACTAAAACCTTTACCAGTTTTCTCTTTTTGGTGATTTGGTCAAACACATTTATATTGTGGTTTGTACAGGAGAGGTGCACATATAGAGCTGCTAGATGTTCCTGAACGCTCAGATGAACAAAGCAGAAGACTTTCCCCTGATACAAGCCAAACTCCTCTCTGAAGATCTGAGTGCACAATCCTGAGTACACTGATGCTTCTGTCACATCAATGCCACACTCTCTCAGGTCTTCCTCATAGAAGATCACATTGCCTTTCACAAGCTGCTGAAAAGCCAGTTTCCCCAGTTTGAGGATCATGTCTTCATCTGTCACCTTCTTCTCATAGTCCTTCTCACATTTGATGTTGGTCTGAAGGATCAGGAAGTGTGTGTACATTTGAGTGAGAGTCTTGGGAATCTCTCCACTCTCTGCT